AAATGTCCCTCTAGATTCCTGACCAGCTCCTTAGGGAAGCCCCAGGAGAAATCCAAGCCAGCTGCTGTAGTGGCCCCTTAGGAGAGGATTGTGGTGAGTGGGGCTGGCTGGCTGGGGGCTGGCTACCACAGTGCAGACACCCACCCAGCATGGACATGATCAGTCATGGAGGACATTCCTTCAGCACCAAGTCTTGGTGCATTGATCCCACCGCTCTGAATCCCGCCCGCTTCAGTCCAGCTCCTCCCGTCTCTGCTTTAGGGTTAGTCCAGACCATAAAGGACCACATCACCAAGCCCACCGCCATGGCTCGCGGCCGGGTGGCCCACCTCATCGAGTGGAAAGGCTGGAGCGCCCCCCAGGTGGGCTGCGAGCCGTGGCTGACGGAGGAAGAGCACTACTCCTACCTCACGGACGAGCTGAGGGAGGCCCGCTTTGCAGCAGGTGGGTGGGCAGCGGGGAGGCTGCAGGGGATAATCTGTGCTGGGGGAAGGGGGAGCAGGGAATGCACCAGCAGCGACTCCACTTGTGCAGCGGCGTGACGGAGCACTGCAAGTGGCTGCACACTGGGGCATCCCTTGGGGAGAATGGCGGGGAGCAGTGCCCGTGCATTTGGCATGTCCCTTAGCTGTCGGCCAAACGGTAACCCATGCAGAGGACTCCTGGGCCTGACCCGGCGAGAACTCCCTCAGCCTCACTGCCATCCAGTGTTTTCCATATCGTGATCCCCCTATCACACCTTCCCCCCGAGCGGGGTGCTGGTCCCGGCTGGAGACAGGGCACTGGACTGGATGGAGCGTGGCTGGATCCCCTCTGGGACTTCCTATGTCCTGGCGATAGAATTCTGCTGGTTTGCGGGGACGAGCCAGATTTTCCTCCTGGGAACACTGGTGTTCATCCAGTTTCGCTCTGATTTCAGTGATGTCATTCCAGAGTTACCTTGGCGTAGCCAGGTTCAAGACACGGCCCAGTATCAATCCCCTCCCCTTGTAACCTGTGTTTGGTTTCCCACGGTCCTGCCCAGGGGTCGCTGAACAATTCGCCATCACCGAGGCCACCCTGAGCGCCTGGTCCTCGCTAGACGATGAAGAAATGAATTACGGGGGCAGCTCCCAGGAGATCGTACAGCTTCAAGGTACCTTCCCCCTCCTCTCTGCCATGAGCGGCCCTGCAGGGCTCCTGATGCTCCCCAGCCCTCCCTGCATGGAACAGATCCAGGAGGGTCCCTCGGGGCCATCCTGGCTGGTGTCCTGTATCAGTCAGGGGTGGTTCCCTGGCTCCATGTCTGTCATCTTGTTCCAAGGGGGGGTGTTTGGGCAGCTGGGGGCCATGGAGCACAGGGGCACCCCCCTGCACTAGGCCAATGCTGCATCCCTGGGGGATCCCCTTCCGCAAGCCCAGGAGCTGAGGGCAGGACTGGGGCCCTGGATGGACCGAGGACCCAGCAACTCCAGCTGGAGCCGTGGGTGATCAGCGCCTCAAGGTGTCTCAAGCTGGGCACCCAGGATTGGTGGCCACTCCCGAAAGTGTTGTCCTTGCCCGTTCTCCCGGGCCCTGCCAGCTGCCAGTAGCCTGCCCTGCTGAGTCCCTAACACACTCTTCCCCTCCCCGGCTTTGCTTTCAGACCTGGAGAGCATCTACCTGCAGGAGAAGCTGGTGCTGAGTCCCCAGGTGATAAGTAGCCCCAACCTGGAAGGCAGGCTGCCCGCCTGCTCCTCCTCCACCCACACCTCCCCAATACCCTGGGTGCACTCCAGAGTGGACAGGTGGAACTCGACCCACCCCTTCCCCGGGGCTCTCCCCTGCGGCTCCCCCCGGACCGGGAGCTCCCGGGCAGACAGCTCGGAGAAGGAGCAGGCCTGCGTGGGGAGAGAGGAGGAGGGCACGACCAGCGTGGGCCAGAAGCGGCTCAGCAACTCCCTGCACTACGTGGACAGCAGCTCCCTCTCGGAGGACGAAGTGTTTTATAACTAGGTCCCCCGCCCCTCCCCGGGATAGGAAGGGGGGACGGGGCTGCCCTGAGGATGGCGCGAGGGGCCCTGGCGAGCTGGCTAGTTCCAGCTCCCTGGATGCTGCTGGGAGCAGTGATTAGAAGCCGCCTATTGGTTTGACACAGTGGGGCAAGGCAACACCAACAGCATCCCTCCTACCGGTGACCGCTGGGGCTGCCTGGAGGGCCGGGGCTGCCAGGCCCTTTAGAGGCGGCATTTGCTGGACTGGCGCCGGTTGCACCGAGTCTGGGGCTGAGATTGATTTTCCTTCGGCCAAGGCTGCCGAGCTGCGCTGAGACCAAGACCCGTTCCGTCCCCCGGTGGGTTCCCCGAGGGCTGGGACAGCCGGGGAGCAGGGGAAGCATCCGCATCAGTGTCTGTGCTCCAGCCGGCAGCCGGCCACCCGCGGCGCTCCCAGCTAGCCATGCGAGCGCGTGGTCTGTGTGCAAGCCGCCACCCGCCGCTTTGGCTCCTTGTCTCCACGTAGTTCGGACGAGCTCCCGGCTGGTTTAACATGGGTCCCCCCTGCAATTCCAGCTTGCTGCACAGATGCGTTCTCAAGCCACTCAGGGCCAGGGGCTTTGGCATTTGGCTAGTGAGCAGCTGGCTTGTACTAGGAAGTCATCCTGGTCTCTGAGGCTGGGAGTTTCAAAGGTGCCTAAGGGGGTTAGGTACCCACATTCCATCAAGGCAGGGGGGCGGATGTGTGTGTGTCTAATTCCCATAAGCTCTTTGCAAATCCCAGCCTAAAGGCGGAAATGCTACAAACCCAGTCAGTTTGGTCCTTCCTCTTTACAGGACCATAGCTAATTTCCAGGGCCCAGCTGCCGTGTGGATGCTAGTCACGCCCCTCAGCCACAGCCATGCCCCCGCACTGCGCGGCACCTTGGGTAGGGCCGGGACACAGCGCGGATCGGGGACCGTGGTGACAACGGGGTCAGCCTAGACTACAGGCCAGGCCCTTCCTCCAACCAACCCCACCCCCCACCATTGCTGTGCGCAGCTGTCTTTGGTTCTCTGACCTCACACATTTGGATGGCTCTGTGGGGGCCCTACAGCTGCCCCCCCCCTCAGGCACATACCACCATTTTGCCGGGGGAGGGGGAAGGATACGAATGAGAAAAATCTCAGCTAGCCCACTGGGGGGAAGGGAAAGGGGGGGACAGGTGAATGTTATATTTTAATTGAAAACTTTGTATGTTGGCAGCACTCTGCCTGGCACCTCTGGCAGGTTCCTGCCCGTCGCTCAGGCTGGGGGCTGCATCTCCCGGGCAGGGTGCGAAGGCGGCTGGTACGTGCAATGACGGTCACTGCTGGGCACCGCAGCCTCCCCTTAGAGCCGGTCCTAAGACCCCCTCCCTTCAGCCAGCCGCTGCCCAGCCGGCAGAGCGGGCACCATGCCTGGCGCTGTGTGCTTTGTAACCTAGCTGGTTCCTAATGTTGCGTGGAAACTGTGTGCACCTTAGCAACGCTTCCTGCGTCAACGGGGGCAAGGGGAGTGGGTCCCCCGGGGGATGCAACGGCTGTGACGCCTTTTCCCCTCCGCGCTCCGTGTCCCCAGAGAAATACAAAGGATCAATAGCTCCACACCTGCCAGCCCTCATCTCTGATTTACTGCGCGCGGTGAGTGGGAACAATGGATTTCAAAGGAGGTCCCCCCTCCCCTGCTGTGTAGGCCACAACAGCCTGGCTGCCAGGGCC